TGTTGAAAGCATGGAGGGGTCGCAGAGGGCAGCTGAGGCTTGGCACTCTGAGAGGCCAGGAAAGGCCATAGGTGAAAGTGCAGCTTCAGTTGCACTGAAGACCGCAGGTTTAAAGGGGTCATGGAGAGAATCTGAGGCTTTGCTCCCCGAGAGGCCAGAAGAGGCCATTGGTGAGGGTGCAGCCTCAGTTTCAGTGGCGACCCCAGCTTTTTGGAGATGCCAGGACCATGGGACGACCACCAAGGACAGCAGTAGGTGTGGCATGGAGCTGGCCTGGGTCTGCAAGATGAGCTGAGCATGCTGTGGACGGCAGAGTCAGAGCAGTGGAGCTGCCAGAACCCTTTGGAGCCAGAAGATCACGAGTGAATCCCAGATGTCCAGCCTCGAGCTACTTTGCTGGACTTTGGTTTTGCTTAGGTGTGCCCGATTCTCTTCCCTTTGAAATAAGGCAGTACTTGTTTTGGATTTTACAGAAGCCCACCCACAGTTAAAAGGCTTTTAAAAGAGACTATGGACTTTAAGTGTTTGGATTTTTAAGGACTGTGGGGTTTTAAGGTTGTACTGTTTTATGTTGTGATATTAATGTTAATATTGTGTCTTGAGGACAAGAATTGGAAAGGTTACGGTTTAATAGTGATGTGTTTGTGTGTCAAGTTGACAAGGGGTCAATTGTGCTGGATAGCTTTAGTGTCAACTTGACATACCTGGGTTGAGGGAGCCCCAACTGGGGAATTGCCTTCATTGGACTGGCTTGTGGCCATGTCCATGGGGCACCTTCTTGACTGCTGAGTGATGTGGGAGGGCGCAGCCCACTGTGAGTGCTGCCACCCCTGGGCAGGTGGGCCTGTGTTACATAAGAAAGCAGGCTGAGCAGGGGCCAGGGGAGCAAGCCAGTAAGCAGCATTCCTCCATGGCCTATGCTCCAGCTCCTGCCTCCAGGTTCCTGCCCTGAGTTCCTACCTTGGGTTCCCAGATGAACTGTGACCCGGGATATGTAAAGCTAAATTTCCTCCCCAAGTTGGTATTGGTCAGAGTATTTTGTCATAGCAATGAAGAAGCAAACTAGGACAACCCCCTAATGTGCATTTCAGAAGAGACCCCTGGTGAACCTGGCACTGGAATTCTGCCTCAGGCTGCCTTCTGCACTCCTGTGTTGGGAGACTTTATACTGCACATTCTAGAGCCTTGCCTGGCACGCTATGTATCTGTGACACAAATGCCAGTCAACGTCCTTATTTGGAATCATCACCAGCTCCTCCATCATTACAGTTTAAAACCCTACTTCCTGGCACTGCAGAATCCATGCCACTCCCCATCCAGCCTCCTCCACCTCTTCTCCTTCCCCTCCGATGCTGCTGGGATTCTGAAATACTCCAGGACCCTTTGTTCCTGGCCTCCCCTTCCATCCGCATGTCCCTTTTGTTTACAATGGCCCCCAACACTCCAGCCTACATTCAGTACAAACCAGGACACAGGTGTGGCATTGCTTCTAGGTAGTCTGATTAGACACTCTCCACTCCCAAACCAACCTTCTCTGGGCAATCAGATGTAGCTTCCTACTTGTTATGGTTAGTTTTAAATGTCACCTTGACACAACCTAGAGTCACCTGGGAAGAGAGTTTCAATGAGGAATGGTCTCAATCATGTTGGCCCATAGGCACGTCTGTGGGAGATTGTCTTGACTGCCTCGTTGATATGGGAAGACTCAGCCAGGACGTGGGCAGCACCATTCCCAGGTTTAGGGCCCTAGACTGTGTAAGAATAGAGAAAGAGGGGCTGAAGAGATGGCTCAGCAGTTAAGAGCACTGACTGCTCTTACAGAGGACCCAGGTTTGATTCCCAGCACCCACGTGGCGGTATGAACCGTCCTTAACTCCAGTTCCAGGGGAATCCGAAGCCCTCTTCTGACCTCCGAGGCATTGCATGACACGGGTGCACTCACTTACATGCAGGCAATACACTCACACATAAATTAAAAATAATAAAATATTTTTAAAAAGAAGAAGAATAGAGAAAGGGAGCTGAGCCCTCAGCATGCATTCAGCTCTCTCTGTGCTCCACTATGGGCATGACTACTGGCTTTAGGCTCCTGTCTTGACGTCCCCACAGTGATGGACTATAATCTGGAACCGTGAGCTAAAATAAACCCTTTTTCTTCCACGTTGCTTTTTCCCAGGATATTTTATCATTACAACAAACAGGAAACTAGGACACGACTTCTAAGCCCTTGTGCACCCTGTACCATGCTGGCTACAGCACCTCTTAAGCTGGGATGCCACTGTCTCAAGCCCATGCCTCTCTCATACTGGAGCATCCTGAAGGGCAGGTCGGGGTCCCTAGGTTTTCATCTCTGTACCCAGGATACCTGGCCACAGTGCCTAGCCCATAAGAGATGATGATTTTAAAGTTAACAAATGTAAAAAGGAATTAAGGATGTTCAATAGTATATTAGATAGACAGTGTGGTTTGAATGTGAAATGTTTCTCCTAGGCTCATGTGTTTGAACTCCAGAAGACCAGCTGGCTTCCTGTTCCTGCCACCACACCTTCCCTGCCATGATGGATTGTATCCTCTGGGGCTATAAGCCAAAATAAACCCTTTCTCCTTTAATTTACTCTGTCAGGATATTTTACCACAGCAGCAAGAAAGTAAGGTAACAGGATAACCCCAAACAACCGACACTTTATGCATACACTACTTTAAAAATTATCAACTTATACGGACATGGATTAAAACTGGGCCCTATGCAAAGGTGTACCGTAAAGAACCATGGTGACCAGCAAGGCTTATGCACGCACAAGGAAGTGCAGCTGGCCATGGGAGCTGAGGCGATTAAGAGTTTTCCTGTGAGAGCTAAGGGCCCAGGTCTCTGCTCTGGTACCATCACCTCAACTCCACACAGATGGGCAGCAAGTCTTGGGCTCTAATGCCAGCAGAACCCATCATCTGTTGGAAGAAGTTGAGTAACCTTTCTGAGCATGTTTCCTTATAAAAAGGAGTTAGTAATGCAGACTTCACAGGGTTGACAGAAGGTATGAAGTTATTCATCAGTTCAAGGCCTAGTGTCCAATAACAGAACTTGTCCTTATTTCCTGTACCTGGAAAGCTCAGCCCACCCCTCCCCACACACAGAATGACTGTGGATGCTTCCCATGACCAAGGAGTACCCAGCTGTGTGGAGCCATGTTCAGACAGCAGGATGACTGCTGGCTTTTGATGCAGCTGTTCTTTGTGTGTGTGTGTGTGTGTGTGTGTGTGTGTGTGTGTGTGTGTGTTTGAGACAGGGTCTCCCTGTAGCCCCAGCTCACCTGGAACTCACTCTGAAGACCAAGCAGGCCTTGAACTCACAGAGATCCACCTGCCTCTGCCCACTAAAAGCATGCATCACCACACCTAGCTGATGTAGCTGTCCTTTTAAGGCCATAGTGGATCAAGAGGGTGGGATTTCCTGCTACTAGTCATTCAGGAAGGCCACAGCAAGGGCTGTCACAGGGCAACATCCATGAGTGGACTTCCCAATGCTTCATGGCCTGGGAACACTGGACTGAAGCCTTTGAGGGTACTGGTTAGAAGAGAGGGCAAAAGACTGTCCTCTGTCTTCATGTCCCTTTCCTTCTGCCTGGGCTGCACACAGTGCGGTCTTGGCTGAGAGCTAGAGTCTTCTGTGCTCTAACAATGAGTGTGAGGTGAACAGCAGCCCCCTGAGAAGGCCACGTCTAGAGTCATAAGTGAGTGACTCAAGGAGATGACAATGACTCTCGGGGAAGGAATCTTCCCATTGCCAGCCTTGG